CACGGAAGCTCCAAGGTCTTGCTCTGACTGCTCAGCAGAAATAGGGGGCCCACACCAAAAAGCCAACAGCCAAACAACCACCAGCACACTGCCCCCAAAGCACTGTGTGAACTAAAAAGCCAGGTACAAATCAGATCATTGTCCCTGATTTCTGTAATAAACAGTTTGCTTCCATACTGCATTACAAGTACTTGGCCCTGCTACTGCCCTGCATAGGAACATTTATTGTTATTTTATGCTTGTTTCACAGGTAGGGAAAGCAAAAGACAAGGCAATCACTTTCAGAACAATTTCAGCACTGGTTTTTGAGCTGTTGGTACTCTGGGGATGCCCAGCTGAAGGCAATGAACTACAAAATACTCCAAAACAAACATATGCAAAAAGAACCCAAAAACAAGTTAGCCAATTTTTGGACTGTAGGTCAAAACTATATTACTGGCCAAAAGCACCAGTTACCTCAGCTCTCTCCCTTTCCTGCAGTAAGCAGATTATTGGGAGAACTTCTGTCAGAAGAACTCAGAACACAAGCACTCAAGGACTCAGATAACTTTTCTAAAAGGCAGAAAGATTGCTTCTGTGTCACTGTACAAGACTTCATGTCCCTTTTATCATCATTTCTATCAGCACAGCACCGTTTAGTCACCTCCCTCCAAAAGGCACTGTGGGATGCATGCTGCAATATGCATATAAATTATCATTAAAGTATACTCTGTTTCACTGGGGCATTTCAGATTCAAGATGCTCTTTTAATGGGTTGCCTCCCAGGAAACTGACTTCACCTGTAATGACACAGTGAATGCTAATGACCACTGTTTAATTGGGGCAGTGCTAGTAAAATTTTGCTTCAGAGGGATTCAATTTACTTGGTGCCAAGGAGTTAAGTGATTAATCAGGTGTTAAATAGTACGTACTTCCAAACACTGGTCTTCTACCATTTAATCCTCCACCACTGAATTTAATGACAGCTTTGTCACTGACACTAACAGAAGGAGGATCCTCCTCCTAGTACACAAGTAAACACTAAGGAACATGCTCTGCACCGACAGACACTCAGCCTTGGCTGAGGGCAACAGGATTCTGGCCATGAGGAGCTCAACAGTCCCTCAGCACGGGAAGCCTTCAGTGAGAGAGGGCTCTTTGCAGAAACAGCACCAACGAGGTATCAGGAGACATAACCCACCATCCAAAAAGTAAGTCAGTCAGGGGAAACAAATTAAGATTGAAAACTCAAACACTACACTGACTCCTTGCCCTTTAGCTTTTTCTTTCCTCTGCCTTTTTTTAAACTATTACAAAGTACGTCCTCCAATCCAAAATGAGCACTTAATGAAGCCCTTCAGCTACAGGATCCTGTGCTGAAGGGCTCCTGCAGCCACCCCACTGAGCTCAGCACAAGAAGAGCACCTATATCCACCAAGCTTGCACCTACATAAAACCTGCACTGAAACAGTTGTGAAACCTGATTTCAGTGAGGCTCTGTGCCTCCAGTGCTGCCCACAGAAAGCACTCTCAGTCTCAGCTCAAGCATCAGCCAGGGGCACAAAGGGACCTGAGGTCCTGGTCTGCAAGACCTGAAGCAGCTGATCTGTCCCCATATCCCCAGTTTTAGCTCCCACACAACTTCACACTGGTGCCAGCACAATTGTATGGTCACATGGTGAGTCAGACTAAGCAACTGAAAGTGTCATGTTTATAAAAAATAAACAAACTAAACTGTGCCCTTTGGGAGCCCTCCACTTGCCTGCTGTATTTTGAATCTCCGTATGATACCGCCGTGATATTCTCAAGATATATTCACTTCAGGCAAAAAATTAAGGAGATCCTGACAATCAGAAAGCTCCAGGTGAGCTTTTAAACAGAACTTATCACCACATAGACCTTAATTAATCACAAAAATCATCATCAGTGCCTAAACTGCTAGTCCTGTCTCCCTCTGAGCTCTTGCTCCCGTGCATGTCTCTGCCAAGATGTTTACACTCTCCTGGTGCCTCAATTCTCCCATCTGTGGGAGGAGAGGTGAGGCCTTAAGGATCACTTGCCAATACTGTAATGAGTGCCAACATCGTGGCACTATTTACAACAATATAATCAGCTAACTACTGTGGCTCAGGATCAGAGGAACAGGTTTACTACCAACACAGATATTCCATCTATGAAAAAAGAGTCTGACTATCACAACCACACCAGATGCCCCTTCCCAGCTGACCTCAGAGTCAAAAGCCTTCAAGCCCTCTCAGATTGGAGTTCACCACAACCCCAAAGCCTGCCAGTCAATGCAGAGAGCATGCCGACACCCGAAGCTGTAGCAAAAACTGAGGGCCCAACCTTCATCCTCATCTCTCACCCCTGAGATTTTACCTTCTAAACCCCAGGATGAGTTCTCTCTACAGCTTTAGACCCTACACACACACTTAACCCCCCTGCCACAAGTGTACAGTGGTCTGCTTGCCATGAGCCAGGCAAGCACACACCCAAGTGCTGGCAAGGTCTGGCTATCAGCAGGGTATTTTTCATCTCCCAGAGGAGTCAGCCAGCACATACTTGCTGCAAAGCAAGCACATATCAATACACAATCACACACGCATACTGATAACTACTTAACACAATCCAAGATACTACTGCAAGCTTATAATGATTACCAGTAATAAAATATAAACCCAAACTTCACCTCCTCAAAGTTTTCCCAAATCTGATTAGAGCACTTCTCTAACACGGCGAGATAGGAAGACTGAGCAGCTTGGGCATAAACAAAGCACCAGCCTTCACCTTCTCTGCTGAAGCTTTCCGTGCTCATCACCCCAGGTGCTGTGGCATTTACTGCCTGCACCCTTGTCCCGAATCGGAGGAGGAAGGGGAAGAAAGAACACCAACAACAAACCAAGAAAAGAACAAGAAAACACACCCACCAGCACCACGGCTTCCCGTTCACAGGCTCCCAGTGAAACTTTCTGACACCCATGTAGCACAACACTCCCCTACTTTTCAGAACAAGGTAGCAAAGTTGGGGTACTCTGTGCGGCTTTTTCCCCTGCCTCAGTATCACATTCCATGCCATGAGCCAGACTGGAATACTGAAGAAACTATCAGCTACACTCACATAATCAACTACCATTTAAACAGCTCCTCTTAAATCCAGCTGCTGAACGCAATCACCTTTACCGCCTGGTTTAAAAAAGTGTCCAAAAAACAACGATAGTTAGAAAAGCTGAAGGGAAAGCTACCAAGAACAGTTAGACTGGTAAAGAAATGCTTTCATTCAAAGCTCATATTTCTGACTGCAAAGTTTTAATTTTAAAATTTGAAACTGCTAAAATAGCCAGTAAGAGAGAAGCCAGTAACAGCAGTTTCTACATGTAGACAAAAGGTACATTAAAAAATAAGCTCAGATCATGATGTTTACAATCAGTCACTTCTAAAAAAAAAAATCAGTTTTCTAGTAACTGCTGAAATGTAATGGAAATGTGGCATTTGTTAATGTCAAGACTGAAGGAAAAGTTTGTATCTCTCCAGTTAGGAAACAGATTATTTACAGTATGATTCCTTAACATACCTTAGTGACAGTGCGTAAGGACCAGTTTTACAGTTCCTAAAATCAACAAGATAGTTGTTCATCTCAGTATGAGCAGAAGTAAGCCTCCTATTTTCAAAATGACACGTCGAAAACAAGGAAATACAGCTCATATGACACCACTTTTTCATTATATTTGTGTTCTTTGGTCCAGAGAACACATCCTACCTTTCCATGGGGTTTACCGGAAAAAAACTAGCAGCTATATCTCATTTTATCTATCTTTAGGGACCCAATGAGTTAATAGAACACGTTTTGCCTGCATTAGCATTTCACCATAGAGTAACACACATACAATACCCCGTTATCCAGTTTGCCTGTCTGTGTTACGAAAAGTCAAACTAGACTCTAAGCCACGAGACTTCACGGGACACAGGCCTGATTGCGTTTAACTCAGCAAGAGAAAATACACCCAGAAGTTTTCAAATTGTGTTCCCACCATACAGAATGCAAGACTCCCCCGTACGCACACGGGACAAGCAAACAAAAGAGCATAATGCTGAATAAGTGTTTATTCCAGGCTCTTCCCCTCAGAGAGAGTCTGGAAGTCACCTCTTTCTTCTGGGCAGGGAGAGACAACCACTAAAGATCTCTTTCTTACTTGGGCACAGTTAGTCAGGAGCAGAAGGGAGATTCCTGGCTTGCAACAAGACAAAGCGACTCCTAAATAAAAGGCAAAACAGGGGAGTGAGGGAAGGCGAGAGGAAAGCAGTGGGCTGCTAGATAGGAAGGGTCTGGACAAAAAAGGAAACTCAATTTTGTTTCCATTGTCTCAGCTTCATGCCGCCTCCACTAAAAACGATAAACTTCCCGGGCTAAGCCCTTCTTCAGCAGGCCAGGGCACGGGGAAACAAATCCCCCAGCCCCTGCCGGAGCGGGGCCGGGCGGGCAGCCCTGGCTCCCCTACCTGCCACCGGCAAGCGATGCCGGGAATCGCAACCACTAAAATAAACAGCAGTAATACGGATAAGAGGGGGGAAAATATTAAAATTCAGTAAAGACAGAGAGAAGGAGACAGAGAGAAAGACCCACGACCCACTGCAGGCGGAAGCAGGAGCGGCTGCATCTCCCCGACGGCAGGAAACTTTCTACGAAGTTGCTGGCGGGGACGGCGGGCAGCCAGCCCCGCGGGAGGCCGGGCCGGGCTTCGGGGCCCCCTTAAAGCTCCGTGCCGTGAGGAGCCACGCCGGCCGAGCCGGGCCCGCCGCCGTGTCCCGCCCCGGGCAGCGCAGGGCGCTGACAGCCCGCGGCACCGCGGCCGGAGCGGCGCGGGGAGCGTCCGCAAACGGGGGCACCGACCCCCGCCCGCGTGAAGAACACCAGAGGGAAAACCAGTTATTTCCACCAAAATAACCCTGGGCAAACCACGGCGAAGCCCACCGCCGCGACCCGCGCTGACAGGGGCCGGGCGGGCAGGGGGACGGGGCTTTACCTTGATGCAACACTGAGCAGGAGTCTCGGACATCTCTCTTGAGGGACTCGGCGGAGCCCGACGGGGCAGGCGCGGGCGGGCAGACGGGAAGTTCTCGGGCTTTCCCCACTTTCCGCTCCTCTCCCGGCGCGGCGGCGCGGCCCGACCCGGCCCGTCCCCTCAAGGGGAAGTGGCGGCCGGGGCCGGGCGCGGCGTGGCCGGGGTGGCGCGGGGGGGTCGGGCCGCGGGGCCGGGGCCGCTCCTCGCTGCCGCTGCCGCCGCCGCCGCCGCCGCTCCCCGTGGGCGCGCGCGGCCGCCCGCGCCCCCCCACCCCGCGCGCGTGTGCCTTGCGCGTGCTCGCGGCTCCGCGCGAGAGGCGATGCGCGCGCGCGCGCGGGAAGAGGGGAAGAGGGCGCGGGAAGGGAAGTGGGGGGCGGGGGGGCGCGGCCCCGGTCCCCGCCGGTGTTTTCCTTCCTGGAAAAGAGAGAAACCGAAAGGCGGCAGCGGGGGCCGGGCCGGGCCGGGCACTGCGCCCCGCCCCGCGCCGCCGCTCATTGATCCGGAGTTTCGGGGCCGAAACTGACGTGGGTTCCCGGCACCCGCACCGCCCCTTAAAGGGGCCGCGCCGGTAGCGACCGCCACCGCCGGCCCAGCGCCCCCCGCCCGCGGGCGGAGCGGGTGTGCGGCTGGCTCTGGTCGGGCCCTGGGTGCGCTGCGGGCCGGCCAGGGCTGGGGAGAGGCTGGAAGGGCGCGGCCGGGCCGTGTCGCCGTAGCCAAGCCGGTGCCGTTTGACACCGCGCGGGCCCTTTAAGCGCCGAGCGGCGGTCCCGGGGCGGGCAGCGGGACGGGTGGGCCCCGGCAGCGCTGCGAGCTTTGTTCCGCCACCGCTTGGGCAGCCCCGGCCGGGGAGCGCAGCGCGGCCGCTGTGGGCACGGGGCGTGTGTGGAGGCGCCACCGGCCCGGCCCGGTCCCCGTGCTCAGAGCCCGGTCCAGCCCGGTCCGGTCCGGATGCCCGTGTTCAGAGCCCGGCCCGGCCCGGTCCGGACCGGTCCGGTCCCCGTGTTCAGAGCCCGGTCCGGTCCGGTGCCCGTGTTCAGAGCCCGGCCTGGCCTGGCCTGGCCTGGTCCGGTCCGGTGCCCGTGTTCAGAGCCCGGCCTGGCCTGGCCTGGCCTGGTCCGGTCCGGTGCCCGTGTTCAGAGCCCGGCCTGGCCCTGCGTTCGGAGCCCGGCGCGGTTTCAGGGATGTGTCTGTATCACCCGCAGCGGGTAGATACAACCCCCTGCCTTGTGTGTGATTCCCATCCGCGATGGGGTCAGCGCCCGGTTCTGCCCGGCTCCTGCACGGCACAGCTCCAGCCCTCGTGATGGGAGCGAAAAGAGCGGGGAGAAAGTGAGAAACGCCTTGGCCATCTCTTTGTCCAAATCTCTCTGTGATTTTACGGGCAGTTTCTGGGGTCCTGGCTGGCTTTTAGATGCACCCGCTTTATTGCAAGGGCTGAAGCTGCCTGGGAGCAGGGCCAGGGCACTGCTCTGTACCTGTAGGACTGCAAGGCAGAGCTGCCTCTGGAGTCTGCTGGAAGGATGCTGTGCACTGCCATAGGGGAGGCTCCTGTAAAATGGCAAAACGAGAGGGAATCCAACCGCGGTGCTCTCAGAGCAAGGCTTAGCTCATGTTTCATGGTGCCTGCCCTAAGCGTGGTGTGCTGGCATGATGCAGAGCTGGTTCACCTGCATGGCCAATAGGCCAGACTGCTGTAGGCACCCCTTGGTCCATTTTGCAAACCAGGACCCGCTCTTTTCAGCCTCTTACAGCTTCATTTTGGCCTTAAACTAAATGAGGGACAGTACTATCCCCTCCCAGCCTGGCAACCAATGACCCTTTTAAAATATAGGACCAACTCAACAGTGAAGGATTCATATTTACTGTCTTCCCTCAGCACAGATAAACTGATGAAGTAGAGCTGTTGCTCTTCAAAGTCATGGAATCCTCAAGGTTGGAAGAGTCTTTCCAGACCATCCAGTCCAACTGTCAACCCAGCACTACTGTATCCCCTAAATCACTAAACTGTATCACTTGGTGTCAGATCCAGATGCCTTTTAAGCACATCCAGGGATGGGGACTCCACTGCCTCCCTGGGCAGCCCCTTCCAACGCCTGATGCCCCCATACAGTGACATTTGTTTTTTTTTCACATCCAATTAAAAAATCCTGAGTTTCATTTGTCTCCCAGCTGCCTTAAAAGCTTGTACAGAATCTGTCACCTGGCATGGCCCTGAATCAGATGTGTTCCATCCTACAGTGCCACTGCAATCTGGTTTTCTCCACAGACATTCTGGTGAAGATGTGCATCCCAAGTTTCAGTTTTCTGCCTGGAGTTTCATCCTTTCCTTCTGGGATCACTGATAGCTGCTCTTCCTCAGACTTTGATTAATGGCCCTTATAAATACAGGCCGTGATCTATCCCCTCAAACCTGTCAACCAGCGTGGACGGTTGCAAGTGTCTGTCCAAGACCACAACGTGATTTAGAGCTTGTAGGATGTGGGGTTATAATTATTAAAGTTTCTATGGCTTATGCTCATGAGAAGATCCCATGGGAAAGGCAAAGCTGCAGGCTGGAGGGCTGGGAATTGGTTGAGGGGTGAGAGGCCTTTATGAGTGAGGAGGGAGTCAGCTGGAAGTGAGATTGTGATGGCTGAAGGAATGTGTGCACAGTGTATGAGCAGGAGGCTGACTGGATGGGAGAACATGTGGAGAGCAGCATGGCAGCTGAGCCAGCCAAGGGGTGCCTTCTTTCTATTGAGTTCTGTTAAGTCTCAGTTTGTCAGGTTGAAATTAAAGGTATAAAAAGGGGCCAATTTTTACAATAAAGAGATCTCCTTCGGATACATAAGGGGGTCCGTGTCGCTTTGTTCCCCACTGCTACAAGAGCTGTTCTCTCTCAGCTCATTCTGTTTGTTTTCTCCAATACTCCACTAAATGTGAGTTCAATGGATGGAAACTAGAAAAGGGAAGGATAGAAATGGTGAACAAGGCCACAGCCATGACTGGAGCATCTCTTCAGCCACAAGTCAATCCCATTGAAGTTGCTGTAAGAAAGCTGGGAAGGAAATGTGGCTGCACAAAACACACCCCACCCTTTGGTGTGCCCTTGCCAACAGAAGCAGGTTTGCCTCAGCCATGCTGGCTAGGTGCTACACACTGTGACTGGAGAACACCTTTGAACCCTTTGAACAAGGAGGGCCAAACCCTGTGTCATGTGTCAGCTTTTCTGCTTGGTTCTGCCCTTGTTCCTCTGCCCTGATTTCTTGCAGCTCCTCTCATTAGTTGCATCTCTTGAGACCTCAGATTTTAAGGTCCTGCCTGCTCTGGGCAGGAGAAGAAAACTGCTACCAAATCTCCTGGTGTGCAGGGTGGTCCATGGTTGCAGGACAGTTGTTCTGGTTTAAAAGTAAGAGGAAGCTGCTCGAGCTGTCAGCTCCCCCTTAGATCTGTGCCACGTGGAGATTGCACAGAGCGGAAAGGAAGTCCATTAGCTCGCATTTAACCTTGAACAGGCTCCCAGTGAGTTTCTTTCCCTCTCACCTAGAGGCTACTGCTTAGCTTATCTCCAGGGAGGACCCATTAGTTAGGATTTATGATCTGGCAGAGCCACCTGTCATCAACACTCCAGCCAGAATTCCCCTAACTTTTTGTTCAGATGGATGTCAGCAACACTAACACAGGCAAAAGGTACCATGGCCTGTGAGGTGAGGCCAAGTTCCCACCTTGCTGAGGGCTCTCCCAGAAAGGGAAGGTGGGTGGTGTGCTGGGGGACAGCAGCAGGATGAGAAAATCAACAGACTGAAGTATGTTTTTCTCATAGTGGTCTGAAAAATCTGGCTCTAGATTGTATTGGTATTGTATTTTCTGGCCTAAAGATTGTCCCTGAAAACAGAGCAAACCCTGAAGTAAAGGAGACAAACCACCCTTTCATTGGGACTTAATTTTTCTGTCCACAGCAGTGCATCTGCCCAGCAGCTTCCATTGATTCTCTGCCACCTGGGCCTCTTTCACAGCCATAGGACTCCCAGTGTCTTCCTACTTGCACCTGCTCAGCACCTAAACCAGGGGGTTTTTCATATGTCCCAGAAGGATGTTGAAGCCTTTTTTCCAAAGGAGTTAGACACTTGACTACCTACATCGAGCTGAAAGCCAAGGTTTTCATTCTTTCCTTTGTGTGTACATTCCTTCTTTTGTTTTTCTGGTTTCAGCAGTGTACAGCAACGCCTCAGATGTTTGCAATAATCATTGACTTTTATTAAGGAGACTTTGTTCATTGTAGTATTTTTCCTTTCCTCTTTTTATTTTCAAACCAGTCATTACTTCCCAGTGCCCAGTTATCATTAACTCACTCTACTGCTTCTCCTCTGTTATCTTTTCCTTCCCTTTATCTTTCCCCAGCACAACTTAACTGACTCATTTAGTGCTCACTTGTTTGCCTCACTTGTATTACTAGTTTTATTTTTGTCTCCCAGTGTTTGAGCAGATTTAAATGTGACTTGATGGGTCTGCTGACACTACTGGGCCTCAACAGAGATGACTCTTCCAAACTGAGGGACAGAATAACAACAAAGCACAGGAGGAGACAGGAAATTCACAGAATATGCAAGGACATGTTCATTTTAGAATGCAACTGATTTTTAGTCTTGAGGGCTAAAGGGAAATCCATGAGGGTTCGTACACAGAGATGCTGTGGAAGTGATTCTCATTGCACATTTCACACTGTGATTCCTTTCCTTCTTACCAAATCAGTTTCTGAAATTAAACTGTGTTTTATGGCCTTAATATGCATCAGTCATGCTGCTTGTCATCATTAGCAGTAAGACTAGCCTTCACTACATGTTATCAGGCAAGTCAATAACATGATAACATGAACATTTCCAAGACTCAGACAGGTTTCTTGTGGTAGAAGTCCCAAATCCTTGACTTTTTAGGAATAGTTATGAAATCCAGTCTATACTGTTAGAGTGAGAAATGCTATATCCATTTCATTTGCATTCTTGCACATTGGTTCATCTAAGATTCTAGTCTTACTTGAGATTCCATAGTCTGGCTCTATGAATAGGATTTGCACCAATATAATTATTTTGATAATAAGTTTGTTTTGATTTGATTTGATTTGATTTGGTTTTAAGTCAAAATAACTATATTTGTGCATTCCCCAAAGCTGCATG